TGGGGCATATTTTACTTTGTTATTTATTCATAGCCATGGAAACGAGAAGTTTATCTCATAATCAGAGTCAAGGCATGTAGTAACAAAAAACATATAAGCAAATGCTTGTTTTAGATGTGTTATGAAATCAACTGAATCTTTGAAGGCCAATTGGAGATTACCCAGGGTTAACCAGCTGCTTTGGGAGTGTAACAGAAACCAGGACGACTGAAGATACTGACACTTAAGTTGAATAAACCAAGGGAATTGTGCTTGACTGGTACCTTTATATATTAAGAGGATTTTTTAAAAAAATAGTGTTCACCAGGGAGCAGAGGTAATGGAATTTCAAGTAACGTTGAGCAGAGTTTTATGAGATTTAGTTCTAGTTATAAGTATGTCAATGATCTGGATAGATTACTATTTTGTTTCATAACAGTACTCTCTACATCTGCAAAATAAAACAGCTAGGTGATCTCTAACATGTCCCAGAATGTTACAGTTCATGTCTGAAGCAGCACTAAATGGTTTGCTAACCTAGGAAAATTGTTTGTGGAGATTAGACAATTATGAAATGTATCTTGTCAGTTGTCTGCATCACAAAATGAACAAAATATCAATCTGTTGTGTTTCGAGAGCCTATTTCTGCTGTATAAAATTTTTCATCAAAACACAAAAAGCTCAGATTCTTTGGGAAATGTGCCATGGAAAGGAAATGAAAGCATTAGCCTGGCAACTGCTGGTGGTGACTATTGGAGGCTTGTTTATCTGAAGGTTAGCCAAGATTCTGGTAAAGAATATGGGCTGGAGTTCCCTCAAACACAACATTTTATGTGAGGCTTCCAATACTTGTGTAAGTAATTGCACAAGCTTCCCTTGCATTATTATGATATTTCTAATTCCTTTTCAAATCTAGAAACCAAAAGGCACTCAAATATCTAAAATAGAGAAAATAGTATTAGATATTCTCTTACTCAAGTAAGATGGACATGAAAATAGAATTTTGAACTGCAATATATTTGAAAAGCCTCTAAAATTTTCCCTATTGACTGACCTTTTTTCCAGATTCATTTCCCATGCCCAGATCTATTATCTGTGAAAGATAGCATGAGATTTTGATGGCCTGCAGGACACTGATACTTGGATGTGCTGCTTTCATCATAAAACACAGGTCCAAAGCTTACTCATCTTCTCCCATTTAAACCTGTTTTCCTCACCCATTGCTTTTAGTATCACCCTCACTTGAAATCTTGGAGTCATCTTTTTTGACTCGTCCCTTTCCATTCCTAAAATCATTTTCTCCAGTTTGTCATCATATTCTTTCTTCCAAATAATTTCTTCTTTCCAAATATTTGCTCATATTGACCATTTTTTCCTTTTTCTACAGCTCTGTGCTCAACCCTACTGATTGCTTCTAGATTATTGAACCGATTTCCTAATTTATCTCCTTATATCTAGAGTTTCTTTTCTTTAATACATGGAACTCTAATACTTCACCCAGATCTTAATCCTTGTGTACTGTATCACCTCCTAAGAAATGAATAGTTTTGAATCAAATAGAAATTTGGTAGTTTGGCCTGACTTTCAATGTCCTTTATAATTTATATTCTCCTATGCATGTAACTGTAATGTAAATAGCAACTACTATTCCCCTTTCATTTATCATTTTTCTGGAATATACTCTGGCTATGTTGATGAAATAAAGAATTTATTGAAAATATCAAAGGAAGAATTACCAGCAGTTAAACAGTGTTGGAAACAGATTAATTTTCCACACACCAGAGTGCAGAGAAATCTCATGATAGGTTACAGGGAAAGTTAATAGGAGCAACCTAAACCTAGACTGTGTGTTCTGAACCTGACCAAACATATCTTAAAACATGTGGCAGAGCAATCATATTCCTGATATCTTAATTACATTTTAAGACAAAGTACAACATTCTTTAAAGGATACAGAAATATCTGGTACCGCAAATGTAAAATTTACAATGCCTAGCATCCAATCAAAGAAAAAGGAACATTTGATCTGTAACTGGAAGAATGTGTATTAGTGGAAGTCTGTAAAATACATACTGTTTGTTTAACACCTGACTATGAGTCTCATAATCTTTGTCATTTCCAAGTCTGCCTTATAGATATGCTCAAATATGTTCATGGAGGGAAAGAGCATATTAAAAATGACAATTAAAATTTGAAAGGAAAAAGTAAGTGAAATAAGAACTACACCTGATGCACAGATTAAAAATTGCAGAAGGAATGAGTACGCTTAATCTTAATCATAGCAATGGAAACAATAAAAAAAAAATATATGTATGAATGGGATTCTACAAAGTGAGGGAGAGGAAGGGGAGATTTGAATGATAAGGAGGAGGTTTAGGGGGAAAACTGAAAGAAACAAAGATCTAAAACTGTTTAAATTTAATAAAAACTATGAACCCATAGTTGTTAGAAGGTCTATTAAACCCAACTAGAGCAAACATTAAAACTAAACAAAACCAACCAACAAACAAAAACAATAAAATAACCAGGCCTCAAATACACCAAATTGTGGAAAATCAGTTGCAGAAAAGAAAAAAAAATCTTAAAAACCAGAGGAAAATAATGCTAAAATGATAGAAAATACCTATCAGAAACTATGTAAGCTAGAGAAAATGGAGTGATCTCTTTCAAGTACCTAAAGAAAAAAATTGCCAACCTAGAATTCTATGCCCAGTGCAAATGAAATGACGATTAGAAATGAAAATGATTGAGAGAAATTTCTAAAAACTTTCAAGTAACTCATGGGTCAAAGCAAAATATTACAAAGGCATTTATAAATATTTTCAATGAATGAAAGTAAAAATAATAAATAAAAATTTGTAAGATGAATCCAAAGTTGTGTTTAGAAGAAATTATAGTGATAGAATTCTCTTCTACTAGAAAGAGAAAAATGGACCCAAATCAATGAAGAAGATAAAACATAAAGGAAATAATAAAATAGATAGGAATCCAATAACACTGAGGCCAGATAAACAATAGAGAAAATTCTTTGGAAACAAAGCCTTGTTCTTTGAAAAGATTAATAAACCTGATGAACCTCTCTCTGGCTAGGCTGAACAAGAAAGAAATAAAGAAAGCCTAAATTTTTCATATCAGGAACTAAAGGGAAAACATCACTATGTTTCCTACAAATGGTAAAGGGGATAATGAGGTAAAAAATTGAACAATTTTATTTTAATACATTAAGACAATTTAGATGAAGCTGACTAGTTCCTTGAAAGATACAAATTACTGAGGCAGAAAGAAAACTCCTAGAGCCTATATAGAAACTCATGCAAAGGTGAATACTGCTATTTATCTTAGGAAAATGTAAATCCAAGTTATAGTGATAACTGGGGTGGGGAGTAGTTGCCTTCAGGGGACTTTGGCAATGTCAGGAGTCAGTTTCGAATGTTAAAACTGGAGCAATATTCCTGGCATGCAGTGGGCAGAGGACATAGATGCTATTAAACATCCAACAATGCTCAGCACAAAAATTATCTTGCCCAAAATATTAACAGTGTTGGGGTGAGGGTAAGAAATTTGACACTACATACACAATACATTAGGTAACATTCAAGACAACATTAATGTTGTCAAGAATGTAGAGAGAAAGGAAGTGGGAAGTTACAGAATCATTAAATAGTTTGGTGGTAGCTTATAGTGTTGAACATGGGCAAGCAAGCCTAATGACAGGTATTTATCCAAGAAAAATGAGAACTTGGGTCCACTCTGTGAGTCCGCTTCCCATTGCTGGAACAAAATATTTGATAAAAACAACTCAAAAGAGAAAGAGAGAGAGAGAGAGAGAGAGAGAGAGAGAGAGAGAGAGAGAGAGAGAGAGAGAGAGAGAGAGATTGCCTGCCAAATTAGGAAACCCCTTCTGTAACTATGGATTTCAGAACCACTTAACCTTTATCAGAGTCAGAAAGTCAAAGTCAGAGAAAAACTTATTTTAGCTCAGGGTTTCAGAGGTATCAGTACATGGTTGCTTGGCCCCATCATTTTTTTAGGCCTGCGGTGAAGCAGAAACTCCTTTTGGGAAAGCAGGGGGAGGGCAAGGGCCAGGGATAAAATATACCTTCCGGGGAATTCCCCCAGTGACCCACATGCTCCAACCAGGCCCCACACCTCCTCATTTTCCCAAACTTTCCCAATAGCTTCAGAAGCTTGGAACAAGCCTTCAATACAAGAGCCTTTGTGGACATTCCAAATCCAAACTGTAACATCTACACAAAACTTGTGTCCTTTCTTGACCACTTTATTTTAATATTTGTAAGATGTGAAGAGCTCAAATGTTCATCAACTGGTGAATTAATAATCAGATTATGGCATAGCTATATAATAGAATACTACTCAGACATCAAAAGGAATAAATTAGATGCTACGGTTGTGGCTCAGTGGCAAAGCACTTGCCTAGCCCATATGATGAACTGGGTTTGATCCTTAGCACCACATAAAAATAAACAAACAAAATAAACGCATGCTATTCATCTATAACTACAAGAATTTAAAAAAAATTTTGTAGTTATAGATGGACAGAATGCTTTTATTTTGTTTATTTTTATGTGGTTCTGAGGATTGAACCCAGTGCCTCATGCATGCTAGGCAAGTGCTCTGCCACTGAGCCACAACCCCAGCCCTACAAGAATTTTTTTAAAAGAATAAATTATTAATACATGCAATGACATGGATGAATCTCAACAGCATGTATCTAAGTGAAAGGATACATTCCACAGATTTCATATTGTTTAATTCCCTGTATACAAAATTCAATAAAAAGCCACACTATAGTAGTCTGCTTTTGCAGGGTGATGAAAATGTTCTAGAGTTTGAATGGTGATATTTGCATTACTGTGGATGTTTGCCAAAATTCATGGGTTATATAGCTCAAAATCAGGAAGTTTATATGCAGATTGTACTTCAAAATAATCAGATTAAAAGAAAACAAAGAGAGTAACTGCAAACCAAATAAGGGAAACCCCTTCTTCAACATAGGTGTCAGAACCACTCAGAGTTTATCAAAATCAGGAAGCCTCCTGCCAACCTGGAAGCTGATTCTATGATGCCAGCTCAAGTCTACCCTGTCATCTATCATCTGGACCCCCAAACTAGACACTGCCAGCCTGCCTCACTATCAAGACCTTCCAAATTGAAGCAGGTAAATCTATTTCTCAGTCAGAATCCTAGCTGTAATGGAATCTGAGTGGTTTGAGTCTGGAGTGTTTCGTAGCTAAGATTCCATGTTAAATGGAAGTTGGAACCAAAAATTAATGAGCCACTCCAGAGTATGTACTATAGTTCCCCGGATCATCTTCAAGTAGTGACTAGCTAGTATCCTCCCTGCTTCTCCTATGTAATGTTTACTTCCTTCTTTCTTATTTGGGATCACTGCCTTGGGCCTTCCAACTTTTCCCTTCTTCTTACTATCAAGGCCTCCTCTTATTTGGATCCTTTATCTTTCAAAGCTTAGCTCCAGCTCCTTTTTTTTTTCTTTAAAATATTGCCTGTAGGTCCAGAGAAGCAAGACTTACATCTCAGGGAGCCTATGTTTTGGGGGTTCATTCCTAAAAATGTTCTACATAGCCTTATAATGGTACATAGTGGTGGAGACAAAATGGGGGCAAACAGTGCTTCTTTGGAATGGGAAATCAGATTGGACAAAGACCTCTCTTATCCTGTGTTTCCTTTCAGTGTGCTTGTTTACCCTCTTCTAATTCCTGGGTTCACTAGAAAACTGAAGGAGCTCAGAACTCAGCCACTGGAGCTATCCTATAGCCTGAGATTGGGCTCATGTTCTAGAAGAGTGACATGATCAGTATTTGTGCTCCCAATGACTGTTACAGTACCATTAAAATTGGGAAAAATGTTGATTTGGAGCCATTTTCAGTTATGTGAAACTTAGGACTGTCGGTTTACAACTCAGGGTAATTGCTAATGTTTGGGCTTAAGCTGCATATGTAATCCAGTGTCAACTCTTTCCTTTATTCCAGTTGCAGCCTATTCAGTTCTATAGTATTCCAGCTTCTCTGAAGACCTCATCACGGTGAAGGATGCAACACCCACAGGTGACCAAGTCTATCTTTCTGAAAGGTGTTCATCACCATTGTTCTGCTGTGCCAGCTGGCTCTTACACTGGAAGCCTCCAATAGATATACCAATATGGTGGCTCAGAGGTCCATCCTAACTGTACATTAGGGCTGAATCTTCCTTGCTTGTTTTGCCTGTGAATCTCTTGTTTACACTCCTGGTGCAATGTGTGAAGACAGAGGATATGGTAATAATTGAACACTTAAGTGTTCTCTAACAGTAGCCTAAGTGTTGATTGATGGAAATTCTTTAAGAACTGGAAGAAATACCATCCATATTTTACATTTATTTTGCATTTTCCCCTGCACCTAGATTTCTCTTAGACACTAGCATGTGATTATTATTTCATTTGTTAGATTTTGTCTGATAGATTGAAAAGCCCATAAAATACTCAACTTTCCCAGTAAATCAAATATTTCATTTAAGGGGTTGAATGCTTAATATTTTCTTTCTAAAAAATGATGCTATTAAATAATGTTGACTTAGTGTCACAAGGATATTATTCTTCAAGTAAAGAAAACTAGAATATATATTTCTTCTTTTGGATGATTTCAGACATAGTGGTGGGGACTATTAATTTTGAAACTGAGTTCTATGTCTGCTATATGGTTAAAGACTAAGCCAGTTTTTGATGGTATGAAAAAAAAACAAGCAAACAGACACACATTTCTTGAATGTAAAACAAGTGTCTCTTCCTTTTTGTAAATTATTTTCCTTTGCAGAAAGTATTTCCCAGAGCATTGTGCTGATGCTGACAGAAGCAATTCTGTTTTTCTTTCTTTGGTATGTAGTATGGTTTTAGAGGTCGATGTGATGTACTTTAGTATGACATGAAAGTCATTGTGAGATTTATGGAATTGACCAGAATTTTATTGCAGCCAGATTTTTTCCTAATAACCTAAGCCTGACATCAATTTGGATGATGAATGCACTCAATTTAAATTTCCTTTTAGAATACATACAAATAAATGTTAAAAAAATACAGAAAAATCTGCATTTGGAGTAGATACCCAGTTCCAAATCTATCATAAACTTGCGTTAGTAATACATTTGAACAAGAAAATGTTTTGAGTATTGTTCTTGTTAAATCAATACATTTACCTGTACTTTTGGGGTAAAAATTCTTCTAAACTGATTTGTATTTATGTCACAAAAATGTCTTCAAATGTGAGTTTGCCTAATTACAATGGAAGGAACGCATGAGAAAAAAAAGTATAAAAAAAGAGAAAAGAGAATGGTTATAATAGAAAAAAGAACACATATAAAAACAAAACAAAATTTAAAAAGCTTCAAAACAATAGAGCAAGCACCTCAGAGACATGAGAACATGTCTATGTTGTTTTATTTTGTTTAAATACTTTGAAGCACTCAACTGTAAAAGCTTTCAGTATACAAAATATAAATACATTTATTTGAAGAATGAAATAGTAAATTTGGAATTAGTCAATAAATGAAAGCCAAATATTAGAAACTAAGTTTAGTAAAGCAGTGTATTTTTGAATATCTAATAAATTATCCAAATGGGTTTTTGCTTTGGAAACACTTCCAATAATCTGTACTGAATACTGGGGAGAACAGAACAAGCCTTTTTGAGAACTCAATTTTATGTATCCCAGACCAATCTACTTATGGAATAGACAATGATGAAAATGACCTGTTTTAAAAAAGTCTATTATTTATATTAAACAGACTATCAATTCTGTAGTAAAGTTTAGAAGTAAACTTTGGTGTGCTAATCTTCTCTGCTAAGAGACCTTTTGGGGATAAAATATATTCTGTTATTCTGAAACATTTTCTTGTGTACTGCACTTCGATGTAACTATCCATTTGTGAATTTTTAAAAGCATGAATTAATTCAAGCAATTGTTACTAAAATACAGCTAGTCAATATTAACAGTTAGATCTTTCTAATGGTTCAATTCTTTGACTACATATAATCAGTTAAAAAAAAAAAAACTTTTGTCTTAAGGTTGTTTCAGAAAAATACTGAAAATAAATAGAATCTTAAGCATACTGTTTTCCAGACATTACATTGACCTTATGTTCAATTGACCTTACGACCTCATGTACATATAAATTTCATTTGTGATATTGGACTGTTAAAATATTTTATTTTTTAAGAGAATAAGCATTTTTAAGTTATATAATCCTCTTTCCATTTGAAGTTTAAGAAAAGCAAGGATTAAAAAAACTGTGTCAGAATGAAAAATTTAGAAGTACAAGGCATACACATTGCATATAAAATTTATAGTTTAAATGTTTTTACATGACATATTGCTAAATGTTTTAAAATTTATATCTTATCCCTCTGGAATCACTTGACAATTACATAATAGGTTGATTTCTCATATATCTGTTTAGAATAGTTAATTTATTATTTTATTAAACACATTATTATAGTGAAATTACAAATTTTAATCTAGTGCCAACACCATAAATTAAATCTTACAACAAATCTCTGGATAAGCTTTTTTAGAAAAGAATGAACTTCTTTTTATTAAAGTTTGGGGAAGACCAAACTAAATACAGTTAATTGTAAGTAGTCAAGTAGTGGAAAAAATAAAGGCAATCAATATGACAGATCTGAATTCAAATTCATGTCCACTACCATAGAGATTTGTTTTAAGTGAGTGACTACAGGTTTTGTATTTGTAAGCTTTCAGTGAATTGTCAGAATTAACAAAATTGTGTATCTTGTATAGTACAAAGAATGGACCATGGTACAGAATTCCTAGAGGCTTGGAGGCATACTCTCAGCCTGGACATTCAAGCCAAACATATGACTCTCATTACCTGGGGGTTCAAATCAGGTGGAAATAAGGCAGAGGTGTGTGTGAGTGTGTGTTTGTGAGTACATGCTCATGGGAAGTTGTGTGTGTCTAAAATGTTTTTCCAAATGTTTGGATTAAATCTAGAGTTATGTTTTTGATATATATCAAGCACAAAAGGTATGAAATGATGAGAGAAGTGATTAACACATAAAGGTAAAGTGAATAATCTTGCAATCTGCTTGAGCAAATATTTATACTTCTGTGTATTGACCATTGAGCAACCTTAGACATATTACCTGAGGCCCGGTGCATAAATACTAATTAGGCAATTTGGTGCACACACTTACTTCCAAAGAACATTTTGATGTGGAGATGTAATGAGAAGCAGCAGCTGAAGGACATGCTTTCCTTCTGGTGACACTAATGTGTAGGGGCAGGTGCATCACCAAAACAGAGTATGGAAGAGTAAAATTTTGGCATGTGAGCAAAAATCAAAATTTTGGATCACCCCTCCAGTAATTTTTTCCAAACTTTGTTACTTAAGCAGGTAGGAATGTCATGTTGAATTCATATTCTGCAAATATTAAACAAGGAAGGGGAGAGAACAAACCTGAAGTAAAAAAAAAAGGTTTTTAAAATTTAAACTCTATGGGACATTCTATCAGCAAGATAAATGAAGTGTTATTGACTTTGTATTTTGTGGCTATTTTTGCAGCTCTGTTAAATGGAACTCACAAGATTTCTCCACCACTATCTGAAGTCAAATTATAAACTAATTTGTATTTATGTCAGAAAAATGTCTTCAAATGTGAGTTTGCCTAAATACAATGGAAGGAAAGCTTGAGCATTCAACTGCACCACTACAGTTCACTACATGCTTGCTGACTTAGTGAATATTTTGGACCACTGAGAGACTAGCAGAAGAATTTAAAATTCAGATATCAAAAAACAAGACATTTTAGGCTTCCTGAACAAGGTTTGAAATCATTTTGCATTTGTCTGAAAATTTAAGATGAAAAGCACAATCAAAAATTGCAAGGGCAAGCTCTCTGTCACAACAAAACTCTGCATGGAAAGCAAGTGGGAACTAATGATTGTTTCTCCTTTACAGCAACAAGGGGAGGTAGGGAGTCCTTTAAGCTTTCTGGCAGGTTTATTTTGGTGGACTCAATGCTTTTAGTACATCATTCTAGGTGAGGGAAATTCCTAGTAAAATATGTTCAGAAGATTTTCTTTGAGCACTAAGAATATTATTGCTGGGCACATGCAAATGTTTGGAATTACATTCTTTTTTAAAAGATATATTTTCTGGTCATAATGTATTTTAATGATAAGAAGGAACAGTGAGAATCAATCTTGCTGTCTCAGTTCAGAAGCAGCAATCACATGACTGTCCATATTAATGGTCAAACTCACCCGTGAGTGTAAACTAACAGTTTTTGTTTGTTTCTTGCCAAATGAACCAGATTTAAATGTATTGAATTGGATGAAATGAAGTAATCAAATGGTTGAAATAGTACGTTGGCAGTCAAATAAAGGATAGTATTTTCATTGCAACTGAAGAGTATTCTGTTAGTTTAAGCTTTTGTATGTAGTTTTCCCCAAAACTCAATAAATATAAATAGTAAATGTAAATGTAAATATTTAAATAGTGTTAAAAATGTGAGGGGGTGAAATTCCAATGTACTTTAAAAAGTGTTTTATTGTTATACAATTTTGATTGTTTTTGTTATAAACTTTTGTCACTTAACATTTCATTGGTATTTCATAAATGCTTTTAAATACTGTAAGATTGAACATTTGAAGATAAGATAATCATAATGCAAACCCACCTTTTATTCATCTTCTAAAATACAATACATTTTCCCTCACATTATATATATGCTTTTATAGACTATGACAAGGTTTAGGACACTCATTTGCTGCTTAGGTCAGACATCTGGAGGCTTCCTGAATAGCAATACAGTTTCACTGAACTTCAGAAAATTCATATCTTCTCACTAAGATGTAAGCATGGTTGCTTTCCAACACTTGACTTTCCCCCCACATTTCTCTCTGAAGTGAGGGGAGACCCTGGGGAAATACCAAGGATGGCTTCTCCTAGAGCAAAGACCTGAGACCTATGGCAAGCATGCTGAACAGCTTCCTTGTCCCTGTTTTCAAGACCAAACACTTGTATCAATCCTTCATAAACTAACCACACTAATTGTGAGGAAAATCAAACCCCAATGAAGAACACTTCAAGGAAAAATTTAAAAGAACTTTGATTTTGCCAGAGTATTAAGAAAATAAAATAAAATTACTCACTGTAGTCTTTCTGAAGAAGTGCTCAATGTCCCAAGCACAAGGTCCCCACCTGCCAATTTAACAAAGATCTCAGGGTGAAGAGAGGCAGGTCTTTATTATAAGCAGGAGGCCTCACTCATTCACTTGCTAATGTGTGCTCCAAATTTCTAAGAAGAAACTATTCTTAATCTGAGTTCACTCAGATTTTTATGAATTTTTGCTAGGATCTATTATTCCTCACACCAAAAGTATTCATCTCGTCAATAGGATCAATGTGAGGACTAATATCAATATTGAGATCCATGCCTCTAGGTAGAGAGCAATGAATGTAACATTTCCAAATGTAATACACTTGCAATAGGTAAACCTTAATTTTACTTCAAATCCATAGATGATCAACTAATTTCACCATTTACAGCTTTAAATAGAGCCAATGAATACAGGAACATTATGAGAAATATTTAAAAATTATGTGTTTGAAGTTTATTCTCAAATAAACAATCTAATGAGACATTTTTTAAAAACTAAATGTCTAAGTTTTGTAAAACTTTAGAAAAACTTTCTATGTTCCTTATCAAGTGTGAATTTAATTTTTTAAATAATTTTTTAAACTGATGAACTATTTTTTGCTTTGATTTTAGTGCCAGGGATTGAAACCAGGGGCACCTAACCACTGAGCCCCATCCCCAGCCTATTTTTATGTTTTATTTTGAGACAGGGTCTCACTAAGTTGCTTAAGGCCTTGCTAAATTGGCTTTGAACTTGTGATCTTCCTGCATCAGCCTCCCAAGTGACTGGGATTACAGGCATGTGCCACCAACCCCAGCTATAATTCTTTATATAAATAAAGAATAAAAATCTCGAGACCAATAACTATGTATGATATTATTGCATATGTTATAGCTAATCAAAATTATTTAGTGGATTTCATTGAACTGACTTAAAGCTACTTTTTTAGATATATATTTGAAGGACTTTTTTGAAAAAAAAATTTTATATGACAGTATGATTCAAATACTGAAGGAAAGCTATATTAGTATCTATCATATCAAAATCAATTTTGATATTGCTAAATATATATCTCTACACATAAATCAATACTAGAAGAAAAGTAAGAAGTCCAAATAATAATAGTAAAATCACAGGTGATTTTAATTTCTTTTATACCATTAAAAGACAAAGTTACAACAAATCTAGTTTTGCAGATCTTAGTTGTATTCTTGAATTGAGCAGCAGTCTGGTCTGGAAATGATTCAGAATGCTGCATCCACCCCACCACTTGTGCAGTTTAAATTTATAGCCAGAGAAAGGAAGTGACATGCAGAAAAGTGATGTGAGGTACGGAAACAGCTGGATTAGTTACAGCTCTATATTTGCCTTCTTACCATAGTTTGAATAGTTGGCTGGCTGTGATTGACTGAAGTGCAACTTCTGTGATTGGTTGACACTCACCTATTTATTACCAAGGCAAAATTTCAAGTCAGGTTTTCAGTTTGTGTACTAAGTTAGGTTGCAGTTAATTATGTAAGGACATGACTGGAGCCTTCCTCAGGCCAAATGTACCTTGATTTAAGAATACTTTTGTATACTTTCTCATTGCTTCAATAAAATATCATATAAAAATAATTCTTCTGAAAAATTTCTTTAGATTTGATTTCAATATTTTTTATATAACAGAAAGAACAACAAATGTACCCATAAGGATAATAGAGATTAAGCCTTTCCCTTTTACAGTCTCCAATTCTCTGAAGTTTTAGGCTCTTTCCTGGACTAGTAGCAAAAATTCTCTTCTGAGATTCCTACAGACTAATGAAATGGAGATGAACAACACAAAACACTTCTTATCCCTTATCTTTTTGTATACAGATACAGTCTGATTTCTGAGGTCAAGGTGGCCCAGTGTAGGCAACAAGCATCAAAATGAAAGATGTGTTGTCAACATTTCCTATCCAAAAAGGATGGAAGTTTTGAAAATCTCACCAAAGATTTAGTTATCCTGTTTTGCTTTTATCAATAAGTTCACTTAAAAGGCCTGTTACCTTTAATTCAGGATTTCTAATAATCTACTAAATTATAATGATCTAGTTATACTGTAACACTTTTTTAAGAAATTATACTTAACTAGATGAATAGATGTTCATCAAAGGATGTTTATAATAGTTACACATTTACAACATGTGTACAATTCAATAAAACACTAACATAATGTCCTATATATACTGTTTTGTCCCTTAGGAATAATTTATTTTCTGATGTAAACAGTGAGAAAACCAAATTGGAGGTACAAAGTAGTTTATGAACTTCTTCAAAAATTGCTTCTAGAAGTCAGAATTTATTTTTAAAAATGTTGTCTTGAAACAATATCTTACAACCAATTCTTCATTACTACAGATTGAACTACAGAATCCCTAAATTAGATAAAAGATAAAAGAAAGAAAGAAGGAATTGAAAGAACGAACAAGGCTCATCATTGGAGCAAATGCCTGTTTATTGAGGAACAGCTCTGCATATTTATAGAGCCGGGATGGTTTGACAGTTGGCATGAGATGCTTTTTTATTGGTGGGTAAGGATCAGGTGAGCAGCAGGGCTAGTCTGATTGGTGGGTAAGGATCATGTGAGCCAGCAGACCTCACCATTGGACGGATCTTCTTGGGGGATGGGGAAGTTAGTCTTTGGAACTGGGGGACTCCCAACAGGAATGACACTAAAAAGCAGGAGACATCATTTGCCACAAATATACCATGGGCATGTAGATGGTTAGAACAGAGCTTGTTCCCAACCTTTTCATTACATGCCTAACTTCTTCTCCTACTTTAGGAAAAATGTTAAAACTTTTCTCATGGAAGGAGGGTGAGTTCGCGGCATCCTTCAGTGAGAAAGAGGGAGGCAACTGACTCAGATAACTAAATTATTGAATAGTGCCGCTCTTGACATTGAATTCCTCAGGGTGTGTGAGAGTGTGTGTGTGTGTGCATGTGTGTATGTCTGTGTGTATGCAAAAGTGTATAATTTTAGAAATAGCAAGATCAGAGTATGTGGATAGGGAAACAAACTTTAGCCTAAGCCAAGAGCTAGTTGGCTCACTTGGAGGAAGGGGAAGAATTCAATTGGCAATCCTTAAGAAGAAAAAATGAAAACTATTCTAAAACTTCAAGAGAAGATTTAACTTAGAGTTCTCTTTGGAAATTTTAGGCTTAAAAAGCTTCTAGTCATAATGAAGCTAAACTAGGCATCCCTATCTGAGAGAAGTGAGGAATTGGAACAATAGCTGGCAATGACTGGGCCAAGAGATTAAAATGTTAATAATTATTAAATCTGCAGTCTGGAAATCTGTTATTCTAGGCGGTAGAATATGATGAAAATTAGCATAGTAATTCAATTTCAGCTGGTTTTCAAGTTCCAAGTTGATAAAACAGGCTGCCATACATCTGTGGCAATGACTAAGGGTCATGAAGCATCTTAGAATTGCTAAAGGGAAGCCAAACATATTTCGAAAAAAGTATTTACTACTTTGGATGCCATGAGAGCAAATGACTTCTTCTTTTTTTTTTTAACCTTCAGAGGGACTGGAATGTTTAATAGGAATATCTGGCAATATTCATTGCATCATTATATTGCTTCTTGAATATTTGTACAAAGGAGCAAAGAATTTTTCTAGCAGATCCTAAGATCTGTTAAAGAAATAAATCTGTTGATAAAGTAATGAATTGGAAAAAATAAGTTGCATGTGTGTTTGTGTGTGTGTGTGTGTGTGTGTGTATACTAGATCTAGTCAGATGCTACAAGAATAAATTCAATAACTGAAACTATATTTTATGTTTGCTAGGTATAGTCTGTTCTACCACATCCCCTTTCCACGTTGCTTCATGAGCAAGGGAGAATCCTATCTCAACAAGCAATCTTGGCCTCTGATTTATGCATAGTTGTTTTCTATGTTGGTGAGTTGCACTACATGCTCTTCAGCTTCACAACCAAAATTATTTTAGTACTTTATTTTATTTCAAATATAGTTTGTTATACATAGTTTTTAAAAATAAACATTTTTATTTGCCATAAAAATTATTTCTATTCTACCTTACCTTTTAAACTCACTTTTATAACTTATTGATAATCATTCTTACTAAAGTGGCTAAGAGTACCTTAATATATTAAGCATTTTTTGTGGGTTGGCTTTTGTCCTAGCTGTTTTACTTGTAATCCCATATTGAGGACTCACAATAACAAACTGAGGTAGATGTTATCTAGATAAGATGTAGAAACTTGTGTTATAGAGGTCAAGGAACTTGCTGAAGTTGATAAAAACCAGAATTAGAAATAAGATGTAATAGATTCACAAACCTAGGATGTTGTTGTTATTATTATTGTTATTATTTTATTTTAACCAACTATTTATTGAATCATACTAAATGGTGTTTTGTTCCTATGGAGTACTATCATTTAAAGTTGAATTATCAAACATTGATTCCTATTACTTCTAACATTTTCCTCTAAGATTTTTCTACTCTTTTGTTTGGGAAAAAAAACATTGTCTTTTCAATTTCTTTTTAAATTTATGTTAATAATAGCTGATTAGAATGCAGTCATCCTAGAAAAAGATTCACTTGGAAGGCAGATATATAATTCATTCACTGATAAACCAAAGGAACTAATTAGTTATTAATCCTGATAAACTGTTCTTACCATATTGGCCTATTTTACAGGTTCTTTAAATATATGACAAAATAAAGGCATTGTGATTTTGATTAGCTCTATTATATTTATTGTATAGCTACCAAACCTAGAAGAAAATAAAAACATGAGTTGATTTAAAATGTCATGGGGTGGAATGATTTGAATACATTCCCACTTTCTTTGTGCTCTTATCTCATATTCCATGACTTTTTTAGTTCCCATAACTCTCTTCCATAACAGACTACTGTTCCCATTTAATCTCACAACACGTTGCGCTAGCGCGCTTTCTCTCTCTCTCTCTCTCTCTCTCTCTCTCTCTCTCTCACACACACACACACACACACACACACACACACACACACAATTTCTTCCATTTTCATTTCTATTCTTTCAAACATCTAGACTTTCTACTGATTCTAGTTCTTTTCCACCCTTAAGTCTCCTTTCAACTCATTACAATAGAGTTTACTTGACCCAATTTTACCATCACTTGACTGAACTGTTCTTACAAAGGTCACCATTAATTTTCCTGTTTCCAGATGTCATTGGCATCATATTTAATGCTCATCTTAACTCAAGTGGCCACTTCTTTGTTTTTGCAATACTTTCCTCTCTTCAGTTACATGAAATTATTGCATTGTTCTTCTTTTATACTACTGGATCTGACTTCTCAATTGAATTTTCTGTGTTCTTTTCTTTTTCCCAACATCCAAATTATGCTGTTTTTACCTTTTACCTCGTCCCTTCCCTAGATAGCTATATGCCTTCCCAGATATCTAAGCACTGACTTTGAA